TAATTTAAGAAAAGAGAACTTTATTGATCCTGCAGGAAATTGTTGTGCCACAGTTTGAGTGCAAAGGAACATACACAAGATATTTCATTTAAAAAAAAAACAGATAATATAAAAATATCAACAATTAAGATCTAAACAGATCTTAATTGATCTAAGATCTAAATTTCCTAACTTTTTTGCTCATTTTGTTTATTTAAATACAATTCCTCAAGTATGTGCTCTTTCTGCTTTCTTCTGCTAACTTAGGCATGTTCTTCTATTTCAGCATGTTTTTAGCTAATTTCAGCTGTTTTTAGCAAGTTCTTCAGCAATAAGTATTCACATTGCATTTTTGCAGGAAATGCAATTTCTCTAGTTGTTTCTGAGACAAAAACATGAAGAAGATTTAATGAGGTCCGAAAATGACAAAAGTGCAGGGGAAAAACAAAAACATAAAACCTGCTGTTCTGCCAAATTGAAAAAAAAAAAAACCTGGGAACTCTAAAGAGGAGCCGACTCAAGGAAAGCAATTCATTACAGGTCTTTGAAGGTATTACAGTTTTACACAAATAGGAGGGGAGTTTACCCAAAAATTGCTTTTAAAAAAAACCTAACACTGTTTCCTCCTTAGGCTCAAAAAGGCCTACAGGTTTAAAATACAAAATCCAGTCATGTGTACGTGAACAACAAATTTGATATGAAACGTAAAGCGATGATATACAGTCTAAACAACGTACAACAGAAGAAGCATGCATTTAAATAAAGTCACCATGCTCACAAACATTTAAATATGTAGCCTGACCATGTTTTTAGGCTAACAGAATAAGCTTATTTCTATAATAAAATCCCCATTTAACCAGTTTTATTCACTAAATGTTGCATTCTAAAAGAGAGACTGATGAAACCCATTATCCCTGACGTTATGTTTCTTCTAACGGCACAACCATTGAAAGTAAGGGTGTTGCGGGTGCTGCAGCACCCACTGATAGAGGCCAGGGGGACACGCACGAATCAACAAAACAGGAATTAAAACAAATGTACCTGGTGCTGCATACTTAAAATACAGTATATTCAGACATTACTGTGTTTTGTAAATCTGGTATAAAAAGCAGCACCATGTGTGCCAAATGTCCAGGGCGTCCTACGCCTCTCGCACCGCGACTGCTGAACATGGGCACCAGTGACCCCTGTGACCCAAAAAGGAAGAAGTGGGTAAAAGATAATGGATGGATGTTTTCTTTTTTAATTTATAGCGAGTAGATTAGCGGTGTTTTGCTCTCACTATACAAACTTTGAATGAGTCACCGTCCCGATAACACAAAATGTCTGCATGCCTTTTCTTTTAAAAACAACCACCCCCGCCATCAAATCTACACAAGGGTCCACTCCTGATGTTATTCCCAAACAAGGGCTGGAAACTGGCCCCCAGCTGAAACAGATCTTTGACGTTAACCACGCAAGCGACCGCTTGTCACCTCGTCTTCATCGGCGGCTGTACGTGAAAGCGTCCAGAACACCTGATAATGACTCTTATCGCAGCGGGGCTCTAGATTAGAGAGCTGCAGGGGCCGAAACCCGCATACCTCGGCCTGCAGCCACACCATGTTTGGTGAGCACTGCTCCGCACAAGATAAACATTAGGCATCGTCAGGTTTCGGCGTGATGTGAGGGTTGGGCAATGAAGCGGGCACGAGGAGCTTGGAACTGTGTTTTTACTGGTGCGAACCAGTGATCCAGGGAGTCGCACACGAGACTGAGCAACAGTGAGGAGGAGGAGGAGGAGGAGGAGGAGGAGGAGGAGGAGGAGGAGGTGATGCTGCTTAGCACGTGAGAGTCACACCAGCCAGGCTGTTAAACTTTAGCTCTTATACGGTTACAGTTTAAGGTTACTTTGGTGTTAAATGTGAAGCAGTTCAACTTTAGGTGCTTTTCGTGGACCGTGATGAAAAGTGCTTCCATGGATTATAATTCAGATTTAAAGAAATTAATCTCAAATTTGAGAAACTGTGTTTCTTGCGAAAATGCAGCATGGATGCTTATTACTGAAAGAGTTGAGAGAACTCGTGAAAATTCAGCAGGAAAAAAGCTGAAAGGACCATTAAAAAAATTTGCTGAAAGAGGCGGGGGGGGGGGGGGGGATCTTATATGAACAGAAATAAGCTAAAATGAGCAAGAAAAATAGCAAAAAGCTGAAAGAACCATAAAAGAATAGCTGAACTGAAATTAGCAAGAAAATAGCAAAAAGTTGAAAGAATTAAAAACAAAATTGCTGAAAGAAGCTAAAAAAACCCCAACAAAACTAAGCTTATATGAGCAGAAATAAGCAAGAAAAATAGCAAAAAGCTGAAAAAAACATAGAAAAAAAAAAGCTGAAAGAAGCTGGAAAAAAACAAAAACAAAATAAGCTTATATGAACAGAAATAAGCTGAAATGAGCTAGAAAAATAGCAAAAAGCTTAAAAGAAGTGGAAGGAAGTCGAAATTGGTACAAAGAAGCTGAAAAAAGCTAGAACAAAACTTGAAATGAACAGTAAAATGTTTTAAACCGCACAACAGTATGAAGGATGTGAAGATTCATTTTAGAGACAAACATGGCCAAAAATGCAAAATATCTAAAAAAGGTAAAAATTGCACAATTACCAAAAGTCAAAGCAGGAATGTCCTGAATGAGCTGAACGTTTTGACACATTGAAACGGCACAAAAATTGTGGAAGGAGATAGATGCTGATGAAAAATGGATCTCAACATCGTGGAGTTTTAGAAATATTCAGTTATTTTTAGTCCCATGTGTGTTTTTGTGCAAAACCTGCTTGTGAGGCACAAACTCTCCCCCAAACCTCCTTGATCCTTCTTCCCCTCCATGTAACATTTCATTTCTGCCAAGACAAAGCACCACTGTCTAACCTTATGCTAATTCATCTGAGAAAATTTAAGTGTCCGCCGCCCTGGACTGGTTCCAAACATTTCTACAACATTAGATTCCTCCGGCCATTACTCTTCCTGTCTCGGTGTCGGCTACAGACAGCTCTCGTCTGGTCCCTCGGCCCGCGGACATGACAGAAATTCAAACGTGCCACCAGCGAGTTAAAATATCCAATGAGGTGAGGCTGTAAGCAATTATGTTATCTCAAGCTAATCTTCAGACTGCTGTCACGTGTCACCGGATAGTTTTTGGATGTGCTCTGTATCTGAGAGCAACTAAAGCCAAAGGTCGAGCAGGTTACAAAATCTGGTGGTAAACAAAAGTCAAATTAATGGAGCAATAAATGTAGAAAGGCAGCTAATTTAGCTGGTTTTAGTTTTTGTTATATCACTTTAAAAAAATACCATTTAAAAAAAAATTGTGGAATAATCAGCTCAAAACGATATTTCAAAGATTTATCGACATCGCAATATCAATATGCGCAATATCAATATGCGCAATATCAATATGCGCAATATCGTTATAGTGAAAGATCGCAATGACTCAGAGACAAACTGAACGTCCAATGAAATCCTCTGATTCTGGCATGGGCAGAATCAGAGGATGATGGCTGAGAGTATAAAGTACCGTACATGAAGAGTGGTGTGAGCGTCATGACAGACGTACTGGTAATTCAGAGGAGTGAGGAAAATGGGGGCTTATTTTAACTGGTTTCATCATCACGATACTTGACAAAAATATCACTGTCTTAATTTATTAATTTTACTAAAACGTGTGCAAAAAGAAAGAAGGTTTTTTTTGTTTTTTTAAGGGAGTTTATCGCAACTGATATCGTCATGGCGATATTCGATAATATCGCAAAAGCTAGTTTTTCTAATATTGTGCAACGATTACATTTTTCAGCACTCAGTCAATGATGCCATGTTGAGTTCAGTCAAAGCAAATAAATGTTTATTCGGGTTTTGTCGTCTGGTTAGAAATAATTTCATTTCATCCGATGATGTTTTTGCCGCATAAAACAATTTAACTGCTCAACTAAAACCAACCTCCAATTGCTTAATACTAGACAAAAGTCTGAGTCACACATAAAAAATATGTAAAATTATTGCTTTTCTTTTACATTTACTGTTAATCAGACCAAACCAAACTCCTAAGCATGTGTCTTTCCGGTATGTACTTCCGATATTAGAGCAAAACACTCACTTTACAGAGGAAAACAAGCAATAATCGTCACTTGCAAGCATCAGAGCCGTGTTTTCAGTTATCCGCCCCATCTCCGGAGGTCAGCGAAGGTTTAAACGGCAATCCAAAATCTGATTTGTTACCCTTTCCCCTCATGTGAGTGGTGCAATAGAAACTCCCTGCATCCATAGTAACCTCGACTGTGGACCAAATTTGGTGTTGCATCAGTAAGGGCGCTCGGTATTCGGTTACAAAATGATGATCGCTACGCCGAGCCATAATCGAATTACTTCAAGAAGATATCTGGTCTAATCTGATACACCTTTATACTTATACACCCCTCCTCTGCCGATGCGGGGAGCTTTTAAATGGAGACAAATCTGCGCCAAAGCAAATCAACCTGTGCAAAGACATCCAAAACTAACGAGATATCATCGAACTGGATTGTGCAATGTTAACAGAAACTGTTTTTTTTTTCTCCAATAAAAAAACCAACAAAAAAAAACAGATTGAATCATACAAAACAGCATCAGTCTAGAGTTTGGATGACTTTCAGACACAGTTATTGAGACATGATATTATCTTTAAGTCTGGGTTTAGGAGGCGTTATTGCCAACATGTTGCAGCAGCAGCAGTTGTTTGAACTTCAGTGTCTTTCCAGCTTTTTTTTCCCCCACAAGACAACTTGGTCAAAGGAGGGGAAATGATTGTAAAATTAAGGGTACGGGGTGAGAATAATGGTGAAAGACTGAATCGGACTGCAGGAAAAGTGATGAATGAAAAAAAGGGGAGCAGATCTTGAAACTTTCATGAGGCAGAAGCTGGAATGCAATAGTTGAGGGTTCCTGGAAAATGAGTAGGTATTGAATAGGTTTGGAGGGGATAAGAAGCAGCAGGTAGCAGTTCTGGATACATACCTCCTCTTCATGGTTGGTGAATTCACTCGGCTCGTTTTCCTTCTCGATTTTGTTGTTATTATTCATCCTGAGTCACTTTCACTTGGTCTCCTTGCGTTGCTCTGCTCTTCCTTCAGGACACCCACAGATTGAGACGGATAAGGAGTCCCGGCTGGTGTCCCTTCACTGTCCCAATTCTAGTTCATCAATACCTCTCTTCTAATGAAAGGCTGGGGCAGTGTGTCCGCAGTCGTTCGTTCCTCTCAGCTTTCCCTGGAAAGCTTCTCCGGAGGCTCTTGTTGCCGTTTCTTCTCCCCAGCCCCCGAAACTGAAGCGCAGCTTAATGTTCATTGAACCGCGCCGCAGGCAAACTTCTCTCCGCGTCTCCGGGAGTCCGTGCGCAAGAAGGGAGGGAGGCTGGGGAGGGGTTTCGGGTGGGGTGGAGAGGGTGGGGATGCACCGCAGCTCTGATCGAGATTTGTCAAGTGAAGCTGCAGTGGAAAGAAAACAACAATCTTGCTTCCTTCACCTTTTTGGACCGGCTGGATGTTATTTCAGTCCTGTGAAACATTCCTGAGACGCTCCTCTGACGGTCTGCTTCTAATGTTCTGTGTTGTTGTGGAGACTACAGTCTTACATGTCCTTGCTTGTCTCTTAGAGAGGACAGTGGAGGGTCTACTTTAAGTAGATCAGTGTTTTTTTTGTTTTTTTAAAAGGTGCTTTTTGCAAAACTAAGCACAAAAAGTAAGGAAGTCTGTGCTTGGTTGATCAGTGTGCAAGAGATATCTGGAGAACACCATGCATGCACTGAGAGAACATGCAAACTACTTAAATGGCACCCTGGCCGGGATTCGATCCAGCGACCTTCTTGCTAAGAGGCAGCAGCTATACCAACTATTCCACAGTTCCGCCTGTTTTGTTGGAGTTTTTTTATTTATTTATGTTTTTTTATAAAGCTTCTTGTCAATAAATCTAAAACCATTGGAAAGTCTAACATTTTTCAGTCAGGTCATCTGGACAGTTTCTTTTTTTGTGCTGAAACGTTTTGTCTTTGGTCCGGAAGGCTTCATCCGTCAAGGAGACACACAACAAAACTGATTCTTCCCCCAACAGCTTACTCCAAAGTGGAACAAACCAGTTCTGCTTGTGATAAGATGGTCTCTTTGGTACTCCCCTTCTCCATTGCCGGCCCTCTTTTGAAAACGTTTCAGCACAATAAAAGAAACTGTCCAAATGACCTGACTGAAAAATGTTGGATTGTATACCTGGATTATTGAGCATGGACTTTGTTGTTTTCAACCAGTTTGACAAGACTGTCAACAAGGAAGAGGGCTGGCAATGGAGGAGGGGGTGTACCAAAGAGACCATCTTATCACAAGCAGAACTGGTTTGTTCCACTTTGGAGTAAGCTGATGGGGGACGAATCAGTTTTGGGTGTTTCCTTGACTGATGAAGCCTTCCGGACCGAAGGCGAAACGTTTCAGCATAAAAAAAAGAAACTGTCCAGATGACCTGACTGAAAAATGTTGGATTTTATCCCTGGATTATTGAGCATGGACTTTGTTGTCATTGGAAAGTCTGTTCATTTAAAGCCTGTCAATACACAATGGTTTTCAATGACTTGGATTTAAAATGTTCATATATGTGCATCATCTGGTCTGTTGCCGTCATACATCTCCTCCTACATGTCATTGCGTGAGTGCAGCTACAGCGTGCGCTCTCATGACATTATTACATGCAGTGTTCCCTATACGGTGGCCCTATGGTGCAAATCAAGGATGTCAAACTAGCTTACCAAAAGGGACCCAAATTAAAACCTTTTTTAAACTAAGGGCCAATTTAAAAAAAACACTAACTCAAATCAGATACCCCAAATCTTTTCTTGGTTACAGGTTTCTCAACAAGAATTTGGTTGGTGTCATTGTATGTTCTCTGTTGTGCTTTCTACATTATAATCAAAGATTACTGAAAAAATTAAAGAGGTAGAAGTGTTTTACGTTTCACATCGCAGCTTCGGGGCCAGATAAGATGTCAACGAGGGCCACATTTGGCCCCCGGGCCTTGAGTTTGATACATATGGTGTAAATGAACAACACTTGGAAAAAATTGAATCACTTCTGCTGAGGCCACTTCCTCTTTGTCTTGATGCAATTCCATTTTTTTTCTAATGTAAATCAGTTTTTTCAAACGTTGTGATTAATGTTGTTCATTTACACATAAGGGCCACCGTAGTTCTCTCAGTGTGGACTGAACTAGGCAAAATGTCTTACACTGCTCCCGTTTCCTGGAACATCTTGCAAAAAGATCTGAAGCTCTCGACCTTGACCTCTCTAAGTGGCTTCAAACATTAACTTCATGGGAAAAACCAATGCAGACATGTTCCTGTTTTTGTTTTTTTTACATCACCTTACAACCTAGCTGTTTTTTGTTTTATTGTTACTATTTTTTTATTATTTTCAATTTGTACACATCTTTTAGAATTGTCTATTGTTGTCATCACTCTTTGTTAAAACCAGGTCTCTCTTGTAAATGAGTCCCCAAGGCTCAGTGGGATTAACCTTTATAAATAAAGGTTGAATGAATCTGTATGTTAACAATATGTGTCATGGTTTCTGTAGATTTGAACCCAAGTTTGCAGACAGGACGCAAGCGCTTGAAGCAGACAGAAAACAGATTAATTAACTATATAAATGTCTGTACAGAGAGCAAAAATGCAGGAAATCAATGGGAGAACATAAAGTGGAGCAGCACAACTAGCTGGGAACCAGCACCGAATATAAAGGACCACTAATGAACATCAATCACAAACACCTGAGGAAGAGACAACAGGTGAGAGAATTAACTAACTGAGGAGAAGTGAGTGCTGGCACACTGAAAACTAAAACCTTGAAAACAAAAGGAGGAAATCAGACAATAATCACAACCATAAACAGATTTAATCAAATAAAAAAAGCTATGAATAAGTCAACAAAAAACACAGATCCTGATTTGTGTCATCCAATGCCAAAAGTCTACCATGTCATTGTGACAAATATGTGAAATCAGCAGAGGTGTGTTTTGTTGCCAACAATTTCGAGTCATTTGTTTATATTTGAAGATTTTTAAGTAGACTTCGGACGGTCTCGGTGCGCGACGGATATTGAGTTGGTCAAATAATCCCAGAATGTAAACAAAGTCCGAGGGAGAGCAATCAGTGTCCGCAGGTCAAAAGAGAGAAGCTTTTCTCTTTTCTTATAAAAAGAAATGGCGACTAAAAGCTGTGAGGACGAGAGTTGAGCAGAAGTAGAATTTAAGGAGGAACTCAAGCAGTGGAGAACGTTATCTACAAAAGAGCTGTGCAGAGATTTTACTAACTCTTACCGGGAGAATTTCCGTAATAGATCATCAAACTTGACTATAAACAAAGGTGACACAAAAACCCAGATGATTTTGAGCTACGACCCTCACATAAGTTTTTTAAAAATTGTTGAAAGCATAAAACTTCAAATCACATGCACTGGAAAAAAAACTGCAGCTATGATGGCTTTAAATGGTGCCACATCCGTTAGGAACATTTTTGTTTTGCTGTTGTTTTGAATACGTGGGTTGCACAAAAAAACTTAGCAAATCTTCTCTGCCAGTGCCAAGCAGTTAATTCTGTTATTGTCTTTTGTTTTATATTATTTATTGGGTTAGATGGTTGAAGAAAATATATACATATTGAAAATTTAACAGGTTGGTTTAGTAAACATGAGCCTCAGTAGCATGTGGAAGAACCATACACAGCCACAACAGCCTGGCACCTCCTCCTCATGCTGCTCACTAGCTTGTACACACATTACTGGGAGATGGCATCCCATTCTTTAACCACCATTTGTTGTAGGTCAGCCAGTGTGGTTGTGTTGGTCAGGTTGGAACAAAGAGCCCACCCAAGCTGAGCAGCCCCACAGGTGGGGTCGGTGGGGTCGGTGGGGTCGAGGTGATGACTACAGGCACGCCATTCCATCCTCCCATTTCCTAATTCTGGAGCTAGTCTCTTATGGAGGATAAAGTTTGGTTTCAGACTTATAACGGACTGCCTCCGGCGTTCACTGCGCTAGTCAGGCACCTGACTATCTTTACTGACTTGTCTAATGTTTGTATGAAGCGACCATCTTGAATTGGCTTGAGTCCAAATGTAAATGAGTTGTAGATGTGTATTCAGTGAATCCTTTTTAAGAGTTTCACTGAAATCATTTCAAGTGGTTTATGACATATTTTGCTAACAGACAGATAAAGTTGATGCTGACAAATAACGACAAAGGGTTTAGGCGTTGTTTGAGTTTCTGTGAACAAACTGTCAGCATGTGTGGGACATAATTATCAGCTACTAATCTGTCAAATTAGTTGACAGGACGTTTTTGTGTCCTTTAAAATCTAATGGCTGTGTCAACCATTTTGAATTCGATTGAGTTGAAAAGTTGAGTGGTTGTAGAAGTATGCCCAATAATTAGTTTCGGAAAGTTTCATTAAAATCCATCAAGTGGTACAGGAGATATTCTGCTAACAGACAGGCGGCGTGTACTGTTTATTATATGTAATAACAATTAACTAATATTTAATGTAATAATTATTAAATGTAACAGGTTCATTTAGTAAGATAAGATAGAACTTTATTGATCCCGTAAGAAATTGTTGTGCCAAAGTTTCAATACAAAGGAACATGGGCCGCAGTTGCATGTGGAAGAACCATACACAGCCACAACAGCCTGGCGCCTCCTCCTCATGCTGCTCACTAGCTTGTACACACATGATTGTTGATGGCAAAGTTTAAAAAAACAGAACTTATGCAATCAGCTAGTGCTCACATTATGTGTTGGGGATGACTCTCATCTACCACTCCAAATTTTACCCCCGTATCTGTCAAACTGATCGAGTTGTGGCCATTTTTGTGTTGACTTGAGAGTTTCTGTAAAATGTGTCTACTGCTCCATGAGATATTTTGCTAACTCTACAAAAACGAACCCACAAGAAATCGACGTGTACGTATTTAACACAGCGGATCAGTCGATGAGCAGACAGGAGAAACGACTTTCGTTTGTTTTTATTAAACTTGCGAAGCGACTCGAGCTCGGCTGAGTTTTCGCACCTTCACAAGCTGTCCGTCTAACCTTTAACTAAGCTGCTAGCAGCCTCCGTCACAAATGTGGCATCGGAAGATGGCTTCAGGCACGCGCACACACGCCATCTCAGCACCTTGCAGTGCCGCATTCAGCATAATTTATCATCTGTAGAGATGCACAGAGCAGGAAACGCAGACAACGAACCACCTCGCAGTTTAGTACGTTGCACGTAAGTTCATCGTCCGTGGCGTCCCTGACGAGGCCCCGATTCTGTTTGGCTTTACCGCGAGCAGGGCGGGTT